TTGTGTTTGGAGGGTTTGGAAGAATGTCATGCTTTGAGAACATTGTGATGAAACAAACCTCACCAAGTACCTTTGGTAAACTCGGTTGTGTAGCACGAACCGAGCTTTGCAATATTTGTGCAAAATATGTATTGCGATACATGACCAACCCAACGTCACTTATTGCGAGCTTCCCTTACTTGGATTTGCTATCAGTACTCGTATGGAGGTATGGAACACTTGAGCAGCCCGTGTTTTCCTTGCTTGAATTTTCAGTATTAAGTGCAATTAACTTCTATACGTGAAGCGTTATACCTATGCCCGCATGTATGTCTGCCTTTCTCACAAAATTGAGACTACCGGATAAAACAAGTAGGGAGACCGGCTTTGGTATGAACCATGGTGAACACCTACATACGAATCAACGGAACCTCGTCCAGACCTCGGACTGTGTGATTTAGTTGTGATTATTTCGTTTTTTTTTTCGTGCTCTGCGAAAAATGGATCCCAGAGCGGAAGTGATTGTTCTATTTGTGATCAGAACCATGAATAATCTTGTACTCGAGTTTTTTTTTGTTGAAAAAAAATTGTAGCTCCGAACTGGTTCCAGCTATTCCTTTGGTACTCATGGAATGACCACAATTCATAACTATTTGGATGTAGGATTCATATTTTATGGGATTTTATTCAAATTTTAATAATTAAATTTTAAGTACTCGTAAGGGCAGTGAGTGCCACGTAATGTCTTCCGTAATGTCTATTCGCAATTGCCTCTTCGAGAGTTGAATATGCCACAAGGCAAGGGAGAGGCATGTTTTGGAAGAAATTTAATTATAGGAAACCGCCATTCTACGAGATATGCAGGAATAGCATTTATGAGCTAGGTGTGTGCTCCAACTGTAGGATTATTGGGAATTATGATTCAGTCTGTCAAACAAAGTAAAGTATTTCTCCTAATAGGCGGTGGGTTTCTGAGTCTTGTGTGGCGGCTGATTTGAGCTGCATATGTTCTTCGATGCCTCATAAGTGGTTTACATGGACTGCTCCGCTCTCGCTGCGACCTTTTGTTAAGTCAATCAAAGTGATGAGCTCCGGACAGGTTTGCCTCTTGTCTTAGGAGCAACACAATTAAACTCGTATGGTATTCCACTGCGAGCATGTACAATTCCTGGATAGCTCGATGAAGGTGAGTCTTGACGCTGTAGAAGCGCCGCATATCTTCTACAAGGAGATGGGTTCTGACAAGCGAGATGTCTTCAAGTTCCTGTGCAACCAGTCACATTATTTCTCAACTTTGCTGATGTCCTACTGCAGTGCCCACGAAAATTTCGTGAGCAATTTCTGTAGGCAAGCCTCTCAAATTGTTGTTTGTTGACAGTCTCTGCTTCTTCAGAACAAATATTTCGACAAGTTTTCTCATTGAAAATCATGAGAATTCAACTTGGCAGTAGTGAATGTGCCTCGAAACAAACGCCTTCATTAGCTCAAGCATATTTTGGCAAGTTTCCTTAATTATATCACAAAGAAGCCAATTATTCATTTCCAATTTCTGACAATGAACTTCGAGTCTTTGACATTTTGGTGGGCTTCGCTCCATACGACAGCTTTTTTTCGAAATAGCGGAATCTTTCTCATCATGGAAACCCCTTCATTTCTAATTCGGTAATGAAATCAATCCTCATAAGCTAATAAGGGGTGACACAATATCCACGTAATCCAGCGTTTCCTTGACAACGCAGAGCAGTCTAATAGATTTGTGACAGTATCAGCATAATTTGTCACCATTTGTAAAGCTGAACATCTTGTATACATGCAAACTGCCGTGGATACCATTTTGCGGTCTAGCTGTTTTCTTCCTTTACAAGTTTCTCAATTATCTCGCTCCTGAAACAGTCGTTGCAGTAAGGCAAAGATATTGTGCAAAACCTGGAAATCGAAAGTAATGAACCGTAAAGAAAAATGACCAAGGGGTATTGATTGGTTTGGTACTTAGGAGCCAACTGTAGATACTAAATGTACACAGCCTTAACCCATTCGTGACAATGTCAGCCACCGGTGGCTGACAAAGCTCTCACTCGGGACAATGGTATTACTGTGGCTGCAGGGCTTGAAATGGAATTTGGAAAGTTTTCTTCCATGAAAAAAGAATCTTCATACCCTCGCTCATCTACGCCAGCCCTGGGCAGAGGAAATCTCCCTCCACTCAAATTTTATTGAAGAAAAATCTCCTGACGCTGCTGCTATTGCGCAATCCTGCGCGGTCGCGAATGGGTTAAGCATCGTTTATGTTTGTGCTCGCTGGTTTTTTTTAAGCCATAGTGGATGAACTTGCAAGTCGTTCTCTTGTTATCACTAATGTTTCCAGTTTTGGTAAGCGGTGAGGTCAAGGAGCAGCGAAGAAGGTATGAGTAAAGCGATGACAGGGAAAATGAATACTAGCGTGGAGGTGGGATATTCTTACCAGTCGTTCCTACAGCTCTAGTCGAAAGCGCTTCGATCCCTGCTCAGTGCAGAATCTTTCGCTCCCATGGAGAAGCCTTGTTAGTCGTTGTAATGCAAATCGAAGTTGTTGCCTTTTGATCATTTCATTCCTTGATTGTATTGACATATGGCATTTATGCACCAAGTAGGTAGTATAGAAAGTATTTCGCATCGTTTTTTCGGTTTATCATCCACTCCGGCGTTTTTGTCTTCCTATTGTTATCCTTTCTCGATTTACTTTTGGTACTATTCCACTTACTTCACCGAAATCTCAAAGTTTTATTTTTCGTCGAAACTTTGTCTATGGGGTAATTCGATGCCCTGATTACGAATATGACATTCATTTTTGATGCTGGCGCCATTTGGCACCATCTTGTCACGGCGGCTGTTTTCACCAATTTGGTGTGAACTTATCACCTTTATCTTTATCTGTCATCACCTGTCGTCCCGTTGATCATCGATTTGCTCGAGCGGGCGCCAGCAACGTCTCCATTCGTCCCTGTCGCGTGCTAGAGTTGTCCAGTGGATCCTCCTCGCTCGAGGGACACGAAGTCCTTCATTCCTTTCGTTCAGAGCTTTCGTGAAGAAGTCTGACCATCGGGCCGGCGGTCGTCCAGGTGTTCGTTTCCCGAGGGATCCAGTCGGTAACCGCTCTGGTCCAACGGTCATCGCAAATCGCATGACGTGTCCGGCCCACCTTATCTTCGATTCCTTGGCGAAAACGGCAGCGTCCCTGATCTTCGATCGTTGGCGTAGTTCGGAACTCCGGATTCCCCTCTGCACTTGCGTGTATAGGGTTACTCCTAGCATCGTCCTCTCGACAGCGCGTTGGATAACGCTGACCGCATGCTCGTCCTGCCTGCGCAGAGTCCAAGTCTCTGAGGCGTAGGTTAGGGCAGGAAGGACAGCGGAATCGAAGAGGTGGGCACGGAGCCGGATGTTCTTCGTCTTCTTCACTACTCCCTCGATGTTCTTGTACGCTCCCCAGCCGCTCGTTTCCTCCTGCTCAGCTCTGGAGCTAGATCGTTCATGTGTTGATTCCGACCTAAGTCGTGTACCTAGGTCGGGAAATCAACATATGAACGATCTAACTTCAGAGGTGAGCAGGAGAAGCTAGGTACACGTAGCTGGAGCATTCGGTGATGTTCGTTCCGTTGAGCGTGAATGGGGCATCAGGAACCAATCCGTTTCTCATAAACATCGTCTTCGTTAGGTTCAGCTGTAGACCGACCTTACCACAGGCGCAGTCGAAATCAGCCAGCATTCGCTTCGCTTGCTCAGTTGGAATGGGAAGACATGGGGGTATACATCGACGGTCGGCAACGAACCAACTTCGTTTTGTTGGCGTTATAAGGATATCGTCAACAAAACGAAGTTGGTTAGTTGCCGGCCGTCGACCTTCACTCCCATGTCTTCCCATTCCAGTTGACGCATGACGTTCTCGAGAGCGGCGCTGAAGAGTTTGGGCGAGATGGTGTCGCCCTGTCGAACCCCTCTCTTGACGTCGATGATGACCTCCTTGTAGAATGGTGAGATTCTGGTCGTAAAGTTGCTGTAGAGCTCACGAAGAATCTTGATGTACTGAGTAGGGACGCCCTGGTTGCCCAAGGCTTCGATGACCGCTTCTGTCTCCACAGAGTCGAAGGCCTTCTTCAAGTCGATGAACGTGAGACAAAGCGGCATCTTGTACTCTCGTGAAACTTCAATGAGTCTCGTAACCGTGTGGATATGGTCGATCGTGCTGAACCCTCTTCGGAACCCTGCTTGCTCGCACGTCTGTCCTTCACCCGTTATTCTGACATTACTGTCAAGGATTGGCCTGGGCGGCTCGCGACCCAGGATTTGATCCCGGATCGCTCGCCTGGTAAGCGTGCCTTTTGCCATTACACCACTTCCACCCGTAAACTTGTACATAGGAGTTATTTTGTATTCTAATTACAAATATGATATCCGTTGTATTATAGATTTGGCGCTGTAGACGTATATTTTCTGTTCTTTTAAGCTCTCTCCCTAATGGGAAGGGGAGGAGGTGCCTCAGGATAAGTTGATTATGGATGGGGTAAACCACGCATCACGGGCAATGGTTCAAGCTTGTGAGATCGAATCGTGTAAGTGGTTTATTAATCTCGAAGCCCTCCTCTCATAAAAAGCTTAACCCTGTTTGCGAGTTCATCAGTGAGAGGGCGCATAAGAGCAGAAAATAGGCGCTACGGCACCAGCGCCAAAAAATGAATGTCATACCGTGATATCAAGATAAAACCCCTACAAGTTTACCCGAGTTCATTGAAGACAGCCGCCATGACAGAGCGGCGCCACATGGCGTCAGCGTCAAAATTGAGCATCATATTCGTCATTGAGGCATACAATTAACTCTACAGGTATTGATTCGACAAATAATAAAAGGTTTAGGGCAGTAACAGTGAAGGATTATCATACCTTTACAATCTTAGTTCTTGTTCGACATTTCTAGATTGTGTCATGGAGGATGAACCTGATTCCGCTAATTGAAAAGCCGCTTGTCATCAACAACGTCTAATCCCATGCAGTCCCATGTGACTCAGACTTGGACGAATTACCAGCAAATCATGCGCCGCGAACTGATACTGGGCCACAGCTTGCTTGTCTTGGCGAAAGATGACTCCTCTCCTCCTTCGCCTTCGTTTGTTAGAGGATTTTCGCCTATGGTTCGGCATGCAAGTTTGCGGATGAAGGAAAGGCTGAGAACACGGCTGAGCGAACCGCTCAGAGAGCGTTTAAACCGTTCAATGACACGGCTGCATCCGATGTGTAAAGATCACCTGGAGAAAGCATATGGTATGGTTGTTTTTCGATATCGTTCGAGTATGTTAGCGCACTTCAGCTTTTAGAGAATTTGATGTCTAGGAGTGTACACGCTCAACACTATGGTTCATTAGTTTGGCTTTCACGGCTTCGAACGGGACATTTTCTTCTGATATTGGTTGATAAAGCTTCTGTTTTTACCCAACGATTTCTACAGTGAAGCTTCATCGTGTACATCCTGAACCGCGTAAAAGCTCAAAAGAGGGTTGATTGAAGATTGGCGTTCAAGCATTGGGGCAAATTTATTCCAGCTCCACAGTGGATGCAATAGATTGCTTACATTACTGATACAGTCGTCTATGAATTGCACAAGGCCCTCATTTCAAGATGTTTGAAAATTGTCTGAATGTTGAGAAATTTGTGAATATAAACGTCGATTTGCACAGCAACATCCGGTGGCATGCATGAACGGCTACTAGCTTTCGGCCGTTTCAATATTTTTGACTCATCTCCATTAATTAATATTCGCTGGCTCGTGCGCGGTAGGGGCGCAGATATGGGGCATACTCCGGAGTTCCATGCATGTGCATTTATAATAGTCAAGAAACCATCCAAGAAAGCACCTCATACCATGAATTACATTTCACAGCGCTAATCTCTTGAGCATAGCAGTGCAGTAGTCAAATCGTGAATATTTGTCCGGATTGGTGAGTAGTCTTGACATTCGTCCAGAAGATGTTTCGGGGGCAAATATTTCTGTTAAAGAGCAAAAACTTGAGTGAAGTAATGAGTAAACTTAAAGTTTGTACAACAATTGTTTCAGTTGATGATGAGACATCAAGCAGTGGTGAGGACGACGATCCAGAGCTGCGAGAACTAGAAGAAAGGGACAACATTGTGATGAAATATGAGAAGGTAGGATCAGTGGCACGTATTCATTCCTTTAAGGCGTGAAATGCGATGATGCAAGCATGCGTAAGCAATGTTAACCGAGGATTGTCTTCAGAGTTTGAAATTAAAAGGTATCATTAGAGTGACTGAGACGCGTTGCTACAGATTTCATTTTGGATCGTTTATAGCTCGAGTCTTTGCAGTAGGAGGTCAGTTTCGATAGAAACAAAAAATAGTTCTATGGGGTGTACCAAAATCACCGCCAGTGATTGTAGAAACAGGATAGCACTAGATTGAGAACCGATTTTGCGACAATATGTCAATTGAGTGCAATCACAAAATGTGTGTGTGATGGCGTTATTGCTTTTGGGAGTCGTTCCATCCAATTACACCACATTCTCTTTGATGAATCAAGGATAACACTAGTTTTAGGGGGAGCGATTAGCGCTTAGTTTGAAGGTGATCGCGGGCTATAACATGTTGACTTTGGCATGATTATGAATTTACCCTTTCATTGGTTTCTTCAGCTGCTGAGCAAGGCCTTGTCACGTCGACAACCGCAAGTTAAGCTAACAATACTTTTTTTTTTCAAATAAGAAGCCAGTTTTCCCATAGCGCGCTTTCCTGCAGAGAGAGACGAACCATTTGGGACGCAAATGCCGCGGAACGGAATGCAAAATAACTTTTGAACCGAACATTCAAGAGGATAGTGACAAGCAACCACTCCAGAAATCAGCTGTTCGGATTCTGCGTCCTTACGCACTTCATTTTGGCTTCTTGTAGGAGCTCTGGCCGCCAAAGGGACTTGTCTACATTAACCTATCAGTGTTTGTTCAGGTTAAACAGTTCCATTAGTACACTACCTGCTCATTTCCAAAAAAGTTCTTCAAAGGCCAAGATCAATGAATTTTTTTACAACATCAAATTAGAATGAATCACAAGTTCCGATTTCAGCGGCTGTTCCTATTGTACTGAGCATCTCTCCTAAATCTGAGCGTTCTCTTGCTTCAACTCTTGCTTTTTTCCCCAACTTGAATATGTCAGTTGTGATCACTAGGGAGAAGGTACAATGTTTCTCCCAATGAAATTCAGTTTCCGAAACAAAACACACTCACGAGAACACACTTTGAAGATGGTCGCGGTCAGGTCGGGTGGAGATAAGGGAACGAATGGAACGAAGTGCGCCTTGAAGCAGTCGCGTATCAGGCGGCGCATTGAAAGAACCTGATTAAAGCAGTGGAAAATGGACAGTGAAGACAAGACTATCGAAAGAATAGGATGCAATAAAAGGAAATGGTTTTGCCATAGTTGAAAAGGCCAAAGAATTCCAAGTGAAGGCCCTTTGATAGCTAAGTGGATGGTTCCCGTCGCCAAGATTCGTGACAGATGAAGGGCGGGAATTAAACACGTAACAGTTCTTACGGTTGTCGAATTGTTGACCGTACAAATGCAATTTTCAGTTCTTTTCGTGATCGTGGTGGGTTTCAAGCCAGTGGTTCTTTGGTGGAATAGAATCACGATTTTTCTGTGAGCAATCACCTTAAGTCTAAGCTTTTAACTGAATTTCCTGCTCTCTGCAATTGGAGACAGTTTCATTATCATCTCATACATGCAATGTTATCTCATTCAGTAGTCCAAGTAAACAAGCTAGCGGGTGGAAACTATCATTCGCCTGAGTAGGATCATTTTTCGGATGAACTAGCTGTAGTAATTGTAAGGATTACGGTACACGGTAACGAAAATGGCGGAGGATATTTATGCCAAATGCCCGAAGTCGTGTCGACGAAACCCTTTCACAGGGTGGACGATGGATGGATGATGATGGAGATGGACTAGCCTACGAGTAGCACAGCTGTGCCGTTTTCGCGGCTCGAAAGTGCGCGACAATGGCGCTAGGGTCTTACAAAGTCAGCATTTGGCGACTAATCTTAGCATTTGGACGAGTTACGTCGCGCACACCCCATGACACGCAACGTGGATTACGGCGTAGCGGCTAATTCAAATACGCGCGGGTTAGTTGAGCCGTGGAGCAGGCAAGTTCGTACAACTCGTCTGGCCCCGCCCCTTCCTTTTTCAAAGGGAATTTTGTTTTGGGCTTCATCGACGGTTTTCTTTGCTTCTTTTTCATTTTTAGTCAATCTCATCCACAACTTCCTTATCATCCACTGTGACTCCACAAATCCGATCTGGGATTATTGTATTAAGTATGCTCTTGTCCCGAAATATGGTTATTTAGGCTGCATTTATATTTGTGCGATCGTCCAACCGACCCGACCATTGCACAACTGTAAGTGCGGCCTCAATGCGCAGCAATATAAGTTGTTGTTTATCAAGGCCGCAAAAGTTCGTTCCTTTCGTAGCTTTCGGAGAAACTGTTATTGCTAATTTGGTATAAATACAGGATATTTATTTGATAACTCACCGTTGAACGAGTATATAAAATGAAACTGATCGAAGCACGAACACTTTACTTGGTTGAACACGAAGTAGATTACCCATATCATTCTTTCAGGGTCCCGAATCGAAAGACATTGATCCATGGGAGAATCCAGAATTTGACGTGTACGCTAAAATGGATCGTTTCGGTTTTGTACAGTAAGTTTTCGTTTGAATAAGTCAAAACCTTTGATAGTCACGCATGGATGATTGTTTTTTTTTAGCAAGGATCCAAACGAGGCTACTGAAGAAGAGCGTTCAAATCGACGTCGCATTGCCAAGGAAGTGAAAAGAGAGAGCAAGTGGTTGGCTATGGATCAGGCAAGTGGATTTATACACAGTATATGTATGTTATCTGTTTTGCTCTGATTAGTGAGTAAAAATGTAGGGCCGTATGCTACCTATTCCCCAAGCTGGGGGATCTGAAGTTTCCTTATGAATTTGTTTGTTTCAAACGACATAGTTTCTTCATTTTCAGTGCATGTTTACTTTTACCTACATACATACATTAAATGTAGGCCTTTATCCCTTTATCAGGGCAATCCCAGTTGGGAAGACAGAGAAAATTCAAAGGAATTCTTGTCCCTCTGCCCCTGGGGAAAGCATAGTATACGGCCCGTTGAAGTGACTTACGTTTCTGCAGTGAAGTGCCTACTAAGTTTCATGGTGGGCATGGCATTTTTTATTCACCTCGGACAGGCGAAAACTAACAACAACTAATTGTTATAGTAGGGTGTCACAAAAGTTGTGCGGACCTTGAACCTTTTCCAAGTCGACTGCATATCAACATGAAGGAATATACACACCAGCATGCATCATCACCGCTATCTTCTTGTTGCCAACGATCGGCCATCAATGGTTGCTT